CCTCCTGGGTCCCAGGGATTAGACTCAGGTTAGGATATGCAGGAAGTTTATTTATCTACTGAGCAATCTCACCGGTCTACACTGTAGACTTCTTGATCCTGGGCTTGTCCCCAGCCTATGAGTTCTTAAGGTGACAGTGGGTCTCTTAGTTCCTGGAGCTCTGGTATCCTGCACATGTCTGGGCAAAAGGTCACTGATGTATCTGGGCCATATCCACAGACCAACATGTGCTTGGCACAGGGCCTGCCTCCCACACAGTTATTACTGTCAGAATCATCACTGAGCAGGAGGAGCAGGTTAACACGTCATACACACATGCCCAGGCCAGGGTTCCAGCATTAACTAGACACCAACAGTCAGAATGGAAGAGTAGGATTCTGGGCTGCCAGACCTACCTAGACTAAAATAGAAACCTATTTCAGAGTCAAATGGGGAAATGCCCCAGGGAAAGGGGGCTGAGGAGGCCACCATGCAACCAGACTCAGCTTCTTCTTTTTTTTTTTTTTTGATTTTTTTTGAGACAGGATTTCTCTGTATTGTTTTGGAGGCTGTCCTGGAACTCGATTTATAGACCAGGATGGCCTTGAACTCACAGAGATCCACCTGCCTCTGCCTCCCGAGTGCTGGGATTAAAGGCGTGCGCCACCAACGCCTGGCTAAGACTCAGCTTCTTGAGAGTTGCAACTGGCCCCAGACCCTCTGCCCAATTGGAAGCCTGTCACAGGCGCAGAGACTTAGGTATAAACAAGGTATCATTCAAACTGGGCTTGGATTCTGCAAATAGGGCTGGATTTGAACTCCTGATCTTCCTGCCTCCATCTCCCAAGGGCTGGGATTACAGGTGTGTGCCTCTATTCCCAGCTTTATTAAGTTGCTCATCTAAGTACTTTTCCTTTTGCTTTCTTTTTGAGACCGGGACTCACTCCATAGTCTAGGCTGGTCATGAACTCACTATGGAGCCCAGGCCATCCTGCCTAAGCCAGAAAGGATGCTTCAGTGTCTCTAAGCTCCTGCTCACCCTGGCTGCTCGCACTTTGTGAGAGACACTTGCCGTCTCTTGGGTGCTCAGTAAGTTAGCAGGTACTTTCTAATTTTACCAAGTGTATATGTGTATGATGTATGTGTACGCAGGGACACATGGGAGTGCGTTGCAGAAGTCTGAGGTTTAGCATCTGGAATCTTCCTCAGTTGCTCTCAATTAGTCATTGAGATGGGCTCAACTGAGCCAGATCTTGTTAGTACAGCTACTCTGGCCAGCCAGCTTGTCCCTGCTTTAACAACCTTCTGGACTCTGAATTGTAGGCGGTCTGTTTCACTCACATGGGTCCTAGGGATTGGAACTCCCATCCTCACACTTGCATGACAAACGCTTTAACCACGGAGCCGTCCCCCCAGCCCCACACTTTCAGCTTTGTGTCAAAGGAGTCATTTGCTCTTTTGTTCCCTCGTTCACTCGACCAAACAACCAACACTAGCCAGGGTACAACAACGAAGAACTAACTTTTGGAGTTAGGAGTTGAAATCCAGCATTACTGCTAGCAGGTTGGATTCCCCAAATCCCGAGACAGACAGTTCCCCTCACAGTCCTCCGTCTTCTTGTCTGTAAACTGGGATGCTAGTGACACCTCCAGAAGACATTGGATGTCACAAAGACTCAATGGGACAATTGAGACTCCGGGCCAGCTCCGAGCCTCAGGGAAGGCAATGACTGGTGGGCCTCACAGAGGAGCTGGGCGGATCCCCAGCCCTGCAGACAGTCCTGCGGGAGCTCCTGGTGGAGTCCGTAGGAGCAGTCTCAGAATGAGGCAAGGGGACAAGCTAGAAGCAATAGTTAGTGCTACTTTCTAGTCTGTGGCCCCTGACCTCTTCCTAGTAAGCTAATAAATAGTAAGGAAATAAAAACAAAAAAGAATTACACAGGGTCTCATTTCCCTAGGCCGGCCTTGAACTCCTTACACAATTGAGGATGACTTTGAATGTTTGACCCTGTGCTTCTACGAACCGAGTCGCAGGATGGCGGATGTTGACCGCTGCACCCGGTGTCATGTGATACTGAAGATCTAACCCAGGGCTTCACGCATGCTTCGCCACACTCTGAACCTTGACCCCAGCCAAATGGAGTCTCAGCAGTGTAGAGAAATTCCCACTGGCAGGCCTGGAGGGTGTGTACGGGCGCACACATTCCACACATGATCACAGGCTACACCTTCCCCTTTACCTTGCACACACGAGCAGATGCGCCGTGGAAGACACAGGACTTTTACATGCCTGTGAGCCCAGCCCTGGGAGTCGGGTTCAAAGCTGGTCTGGGAAGCATGGAACTGTTAGCTCAAAAGAAGAAACACGGCACGGCAGTGCACAGCTTGCAAAGGCCCTAACACCTCCTCTCGCTTGATGCTGAGGCGTGGAGAATAGTCTCTGTGTTGTGTGAATTCCATGCACATTCAGGAGGCCCCTGTCTGCCTTCCCTGGACCAGGGTCAGCAGAGCCAAATGTCAACAGAAACGGCGAGAAAGGTTTAGCCCCATTCCCCAGATACATCCGTTCACTGCTTCTCTTCTCCTTAATAAGTCATACCTGGACTCAGGGAATCAGTTTTCCCAGTGGAGTCAACTTCAGGATGCATTGTATTTTGGCATCCTTCCTGCTTGTTCCTGCCAAGGCATCTTAGGACCTCTAGGAACCCCACCCAGCCCCTCCCCAGGGACCCTCTGTACAATAGCATTTGACAAAGAACAGGTTTTTAGTTTGGATTTTTTTTTGAAACAGGGTCTTCCTGGCCTGAGACCCACAAGAGATGCACTATGTGGAAAAGGCTGGTCTTGAACTCACAGAGATCACCTGCCTCTGCTGGAAGTAAAGGTGTATGCTACACCATCCAGCACAGAATAGCTTTTAAATATTCAACTACTAGAATTCACATTTAGAAATTGCCCTGAGAGCCCGGCGGTGGTGGTGCACGCCTTTAATCCCAGCACTCGGGAGGCAGAGGCAGGGGGATCTCTGTGAGTTCGAGACCAGCCTGATCTACCAATCGAGTTCCAGGACAGGCTCCAAAACTACACAGAGAAACTCTGTCTTGAAAAAATAAACAAAAATTTGCTCTGAGTAAGAAGTCCAGGCCCAGAAATGTTTTGTGACATTCAGAATTCAAACTCAGACCTCTGCAACTCCAAATCCTGTCTCACTGTCCGAGGCCCCACCCAAGGCACAGCCAGGTCCCCATGTCCCCATCTCTTCCACTCCAGTCCCGTGTGCAGCCTGGTTCTGGGCAGAACTAGGTGGAGGAAATGAAGAAGGAAGGAGGCCCCACACCCACCCACACCTGCTCAGTCCAGGACTGCCGTGGTGTACCGGGAGCAGGGTGGGTAAGCTCCCAAGGAGGGAAGCAGGCTTACCTGGGGAACTCACCCTGACTCAGCAACCTCCTGCTGTCCCTGAGGGCTGGAGTAAGGCAGACTTCTGGAGCAGCCCCTGCCTCCGGGCAGCCCCTGTGCCACAGAGTGTAGGAGTCTGGGAGGTGGCAGAGGAGGAAACTAATACTGCCAGAGGGGAAGTGACACTGTCCCACAGCTCTGAGTGGTAGGACCAGGACTCAATCTGGAGATCTTGCTCAAGTGTCTGCACAGGGCTGAGTCGGCCGCTGCCCAGCCAGGAGCCAGTCACCCCATCTCTGCGCCCTCACCCAAGCAATGGGTATCACTGGACTATCAGTTTAGCCCGAGGGTTGCTGGGAAGATAGAGGGGAAGCACTGGAGGCCTGGAGCTGGGCACAGGAGGCTCCGCTCCTGGACTCTCTTGAGTTTAGGCAGAGCCTTGCTCCTGCTCATTACTGCCACAGGGAACAATTACCCTGGTTTCTCAGCAGTGCCTGGAAGGCCCATTAAGAGAGACCCAGACCCTGAGATTAACAAATCTGTTGTCTGTTGACTCTGACCATGTAGGTCCAGACACCATTCCCCAGGGACTAAGGATGGACCCACAGAACGAGGGTAGCTTGGAGGAAGGGCAACACCTGGAGGGCTTGCCTCTTCCCAGGCCTCAATCCATACTGGAGCTTGGGCAGGAGAAGGCAATGTGGAGCTCTGTCTGGGCCCTTGACTGGCATCTGCAACCCTCTCCCTGTCAATCCCTTCTCCCTTTCCTCCTCTTGTTTACAAGTACCATGCTCTCTCCTGGTGGCTTTCAAGATGAGGGGGAAGGCAAAGCAAGGTCTCAGAGCCGAGGTGACAGCTTTAGAGGGACATTAAGAGAGGTGTGGGACAAAGAGCCAGGGGGCTCCTCAGGTGGGCACAAGAGGACTTCCCAGGTCTCCCTTTCCTCATATGATCTCCTCTGTCTCTTTGAAGAAGCCCACCAGCCTAGAGGAGGCCCTGCCCTTTGGGATCGGAGCAGGCGAGGAACTAAGGCCAGGCTCCCAGGATACTGCCTCAGTTCCAAATGCCAAGGCTTTGATTTGTGACTGGTGAGCCTGTCATGCACGCTGGCCTCTGGGTACACCCTCTGCAGGCCAGGAGAGGAAGTACATACTCTGCCTAACACCAGCAGAAGAGGCGCTGGGCCAAATAACAGAGGCTTTGTCTGGGTCCCAAGCCACGGCAGAGGTGTCCTTGTTGTCCTCTGGTCCTCTTCCCTGGCATATACACACAAAAGGAGAACCTCACAGCAGAGACCTGTGAGGGAGCTTAAGCAGCTGCAGGCAGAAGAAGATGAAGAGTCCCCTCAGGATTGGTCCCAGCCTGCCCCATCCCCTAGGCTCCAAACCAAGCCCATTTCCCACACCCTAAGCCCCAGAGGCTGGCTGCACTTGCCCCTAGCCCAGACATAGGATGACTTTGGTCAGCTCTGCTTTAGTTTGCTATATGACCTCAATCGGTGTCCATCCCTCTCTGGACCACCGTTCTCCCATCTGTGAGATGTAAACAAACAAACAGACAAACAAACAAGCCCAAAAAGTCAGCATGCAGAACAAGATGACAGAGACAGAGGGTGTTACTCACTGCTCACATTCTGAGATCCAGGGCCAGCCCCCTTGGAGCACGCCCATTCTCTTGACGGGAAATAAGTGTGACTTCAGAGAAAAAGGTGCCACCACTCCAAACAGCAGCAGGCCACTGACAGGAAGATCCCTCTGCCCCTGTGTAGAGACAATAAGGAGAGTTCCTGAAAGGGAATGGGGGGGGCAAAGTGTCTGAGGGCCAGGCTCCCAGGTGGGAGAGGGCGTGAAAGTCCATGTGGAGGAAGGCTAGGTACACACGTCTGTGTGGGGCTAGGCAGCGTGTGGATTCACGTTCACACTGTGTGGTGTGAGGCGTTTGTGTGTCTGTCTGCCCACACACCTCCCTCTGGGGTACCCGGAATCCCCAGTCCATAGCAGTACTTTCTCAGGCCCACAGTCCTTGCTGCAATCCCAGGGCAGCCCAGGTGCCCTGGGAGATTTGTAAGGTAGCAGTCACCACAGGCTCCTCGACTTTCCCAGTAACAAGGGCAGTTGCATAAGAGGAGGAGGAAGACTTAGAGGATTAAGCAGGCTCTGCCAGCTCAGTCCTGCATGTAGCCTTCTCTGGAAGGGTCAAAACCCTAGTGTTCTCAGACCTTCGGCGGCCTTTCACACACCTTCTCTGGCGGGAGCCACCAACCGTAAGTCAGGTGCTCCCACACAGCCGGGCTCCCGAGAGCTCCATTCCTAAGGAACACTGTCGGCTTACACTCATGTCCTTCCTTGGGTACATTTGTCCCTTCCGGAACTCTCTGCAGTGATGGATCTTCTTTCCCACACAGAGCAGGGACTGAGAAGGCGCCACTGGCAGGAATGGTTTCTTGTATATCCTAGATTCTAAGACCTCAGTCCAGTGGCCCCTTGCTGCCCTCAAGATATGAGAGGGACAACACTCTTTTCGGTGCTCTGCAATAGGAGAGACCTGGTGGAGCTCTGTAGGAGGAGATGTGGCCCCCCTGGATGTCGGCACCACTTCAAGCTCTTGGTTAGTACTCAGACTGGGGGAGGTGGGATGCTCTGACTGAGTCACATGGCTCCTCCTCCAACCCATCCCACCAGGATCCGGGGGCTGCTGTGGGCCATCTTAGGGAAGTACAGACGCCTAGCTGAGGAGTAGGGAACCTGTGCCCATGGTGCAACCCCCACTGAAGAATGTCCACCACACTCAGTCCACAGGTCTACAACACACATGTGTATGCATGTCCAGTCCAACCCACATAGGGCTTAAGCTTAGTTCACCAAGGATCTTGATGCAAGGATCTTGTAGAACCAAGGAAAGATGGAAGGAACGGATCCGAGTTCTCCTAGGGCTGCTAGAACTTTGCTCCCTCACAGACAGGTCACGAGGTTCCACAGACACAGGCCACTTAGTGATATGGTGGGCCCACCCTCTCCAGTCACCCCATAAAGGCCCTGGCCAGACCACACAGAGAAAACAAGCAAAAGTCCCTTAGAAGGTGGCTCTTGACATAGCTACTTAGTTGCTGGTGCAAAGAAATGTGCCAAACCTGGGGAGATGGTTCAGAGGGGAAACCGCTTACTGCAAAGCCTGACCCGAGTTCAGAACCCACGTGGAATGCATTTGTGATGCTGCAGTGAGGTGGGTGGCAACGATAGGAGAATCACTTGAAAACTCACTAGCACAGCTAAGCCTGGAGCGCACAGCGCAGCAGTAGAAACAAGAGAGACCCTGCCTCATGGCCAGGAAGGAGACAACAGGAAGTCATCCTCTCATCTTCCTGTGTGCACTGTGGCACAGACATGTGTGTACACCCCAGTGTAAAACGGAGTGAAATGTTTAAAAACTCAGGAAAGTTGCTCTGCATTTTGGAGTTCAAAGGGCAGAATGTGGGTCAGTGGGATTTCTGGAGGGGACAGGGTCCTTCCCAGGCAGAGGAGGCCTCCCACTCCCCTGAAGTCTCACCTTCCGCTTGTTTTAGGTTCTTTATGCTTGGTGGGCTCCTCTGGATGACTTAGTGATGAGCAAGAGTATCACACAGTTCTTGCTGGATGTGGTGGTGCACGCCAGTAATCCCAACAGTAGGGAACTCAGAGCGGGCAGGAGGGCCCAGTCGCTAGTCCAGGCTCCTCCGTTCCCTTCTAGATCTATTGGAGGATCCTGGCCACAAATCAGCTCAACTTAAGTCAACTAAAAGTGTGAACTTTGTGCCTTGGAGCATCCGTGGGAATGTCAGAGCTGCAGGCTGAATCCCTGCCCCAACTTACTAGAAGGCATCTCCACCATTAGAGGAACACTGCAGACAGTCAGTGCCTCCGCAGTGGCCCTCCAGGACAGTGCTTATGACTGGCCCAGCTAGCCCTTCCCCACTGCCTAAAGGAGGTGCAGTGTTATCCTTCACTGTTCTGAGCGATCTGTCTGACACTTTCAAAGCTTCGTAGTGTTGGATCAAGGTTTTGAACACAATGCTTTGAACCGGTCCATGTCCTCCCCATGTGAGTAGTGTCTCATGACTCATGCTGCTGGAGAGACGATAGAAAAAAAAGGCGAAAGTCCAAGAAGTCAGTGAACTCTCTCAGAAGAGTTACTCATTGATTGCTTTAGATTTATGCCACCCCTGTCCAGAAAGAGCTGGCTGACTCAAACAATAGCCAAGTGTACCACATGATCCCATCAGAGGCAGAGACACAGGTTAATACGGTGACCAAACATCCTAGAAGCCAAAGTCAAAGAGAAAAGCAGAAAAGATTTATGGCTCCCCCCTCCCAGATAAAAAGAAGGCAAATATTTGCTTGAGAGGGTGGAGTCAGTCACTGGGATAGTCCTGTGCTCAATGGGGAGGGCAACACAATCAGTTAAACATTAGTGAGCGCTCACTGCTAGAGATAGATAGATAGATAATAGAAAATATAGATAATAGAGATGATAGATAGATGATAGAAAAAGGGAGATAATAGAGATAATAGATGGTAAATGGATTGATAGATGATAGAGAAGAGATGATGGTTGATAGAGATGATAGATAATAGATAGAGAGATGATAGACAGACGATAGAAAAATGATAGATAGCGGGGGCTGGAGAGATGGCTCAGAGGTTAAGAGCACTGACTGCTCTTCTGGGGGGTCCTGAGTTCAATTCCCAGCAACCACATGGTGGCTCACAACCATCCACAATTCAGTCTGGTGTTCTCTTCTGGCATGTAGGCAGAACACTTTATATGTAATAAATAAATAAATAAATATTTAAAAAAAAGAAAAATGATAGATAATAGATAGAGATGATAGATGATAGATAGAGATGATAGATAATAGAGAGGTGATAGATAGACAGACAGACAGACAGATGGATGGGGCAAAGAGACTACCACAGGGTAGAGGAAAAGGACAAGGTTGTAACATTTGTGTGTCACACATACAGACCTTCCCACAATTATTATACCATCAGGAATGTGTGTTTGGTGAAACTTCCATGCACAAGAGCTACTGAGGTGGGTTGGAAGATTTTTACCTTGAGCCAAAGAACCTTCTGACAAACGTAATGGGAAAGTTCTTTGTTGAGCTCTGTAGGTCTTTGTGTTCTGTGACTGGGACCCTGTGTCCCCATGAGTATCAGAGCACTGTGTCCGGCACCTTTCAGCTAGCACTCAGGAGCTTTGCAGGAACAAGGCTGTTGAGTGGATGATGGCACTGAAGGACTTTCCCCTTTCTGCCTGAGGTCCTGGGGCTGGGAGTGAAGGTCCTGATCACTGGGACAGGAATGACAAGGTTATGGGCCTTCAGAAGATGAGCACACACTACATGACATTTAGTTGGAGTTAAATGAAGAACCAAAGAATGCATCAGAGGGGCTGGAGAGATGGACTGCTCTTCCAGAGGGTCCAGGTTCAACTCCCAGCACCCACATGGCAGCTCACAACTGTCTGTAACTCCAAGATCTGACACCTTCACACAGACATGCAAGTAGGCAAAACACCGATGCATGTAAAAAAAAAAAAAAAAGAATGCATAAGGGGCTTCCAGATGGAGTCCAGGGGCCAAGAGGCTGGCGGACTGGCTCAGAACTGTTCTTTCTTCCTTGATGTCCCTACTTTCTAGTCCTCTGGTGAGGTCAGTTAGCCATGAGGAGTGGGAGTGTGCCCGTGGCCAGAGGCAATTGAGGATTCCACAGAGAAGGCTCATTAAAGCTGTCTACAGAAGGGCTTGTTTGCCCACACGGCCTTGTCCTGTGGGGTCTCTGACACAGCACAGGAGGGACCAGAGCTGACCCTGCAGCCATGACAGTCTTTGTTAGTTTTCACCATGGCAGCAGCCCAAAGCAGTTAAGTTAGGTCATCATCTGTCACCAGGTGCCTTTCCGCCATCAGCGATGTGACATGTGCACCCGTTATAAGTGGCCTCCGGGCACAGTTTGCTCCCTTGCCTCCTGCCTCTCTTCTTCTTCCTCTTGTTTTTTCCCCGGCTCTGTCTGCTGCCACTCTCAAGTCCCCACTCTGTGCCCTTTCATTCTCCCCCAATAAGCCCCTTGCACTAACTCTGTTGTGCATGGCGTGTTTGCTTGGTGGCATGCCTTGGCAGGGTCCACAGAAAGGTACCCACTTTGCCTTTCTTTTTGTTGTTCAGGGCACAGCAGGAAGTGCGGGAGAAGACATAGGCATCAGACACAATTGGAAGAGACATATGTTAAGTGGGAAGGGCCACCTAGGGTGACTGCCAAGACGGGAATAGTGCAGGATCACTAGAGCGGTGAGGGGCCGAGTGACCCCTGAAGAATGGAGAGAGCGGTGGAGCGGTGTGGTCACGGAGAAGCCACTTTCTCAGACGGGGCAGAGGGAAAAAGGGCTTAAGGGAAGGAAGAGGCTGGGGAGGGTTCCAGAGCTGGGGTCCTGACCTAAGGGCCGAGACAGGAGAACTGATGGAGAGACGTCGGTAGAGCTTGGCGGCTGGGTGGGGTAGGTGTGGGAGTGGGGGAGACGAAGACTCCTTCCGGAGGAGCCAGCTGTGGGCAGCCTGGTCCTTGAGCCCTGCTCGCCCTTCTCAGATAGCTCTTTACTGCTTGGACCTAGGCCACGCCCACTCTTGTCCTGCCTCCCAGGGGTAAGTAAGGATTCAGGCATGTTATGCTGGCCTGCCTCCTGTCTCCTGGCAGAACGCACTCAGGCAGTACCCTGGTCATCCCAG